TTCTCCAGGCAAGGGGGTATGACTGCAGTTGATAGATTTTGTTGAATATGCTTGTGATGATGTGAAGTACCGCAAGGTTATCTATGGCTTCTTTGAAGAAACCTCCGTTGAAACCATCAGTCCCCGGTGCAGATCTTACTTTTCGATGTCATATGGCCTGTTTCACTTCATTTTCGGACCATGCATTGTTCATCGTTTCGTCCCAATGGAAAAGAGTTATTTGGAAAGCTGTAGTTCCAGGAGATCCGTACAGGCTTGAGAAGAATTTATGCCATTTCTCAGTTTGGATGGGGGGTTTCGAGCCTGACCATATTTTGAATTTCTTCCAGAACTGGTGTTCGTTATGGGATTGAAGTGCACTCAGTAGGGAAGCTTTTTCATTTGCCTTGTGCTCTTTCTTCTTCAACCGAAGTAGACATCTATAGCTTCGTCGAATCTCTCGCAGTTGTTCGAAGACTTCAGGATCTTGTGTTACTCTGGTATTACGAAGGGTTCGCATAACCGCTGTTTTTAGACGGGCGCATTCTGCATCAAACCAAGGGTGGTGAGATGATGAAGGATCTCTGCAGTTACCCTGTTTCTTGAATGGGGCATAAATGTTTGAGAATGCGCTCATCAATTTTGCGAGGCTTCCATCGATGTCTGATGCTAAAAGAAGTTGTCTAGATGTCTCCAGGAGTCTCTGTTTTTTTTCTAAGCTCCACTTTTCAAGGGATATGGTGGCAGCAGCGGGGTCGTATAGGTAACGAACGCGCCCCTTGTTATTTCGCATGGCATTTGCGTCTTGTGGTGTCGTTTGCGAGTCGGCTTTGGCAACCGCGAAGGAGACAGGCATGTGGCTTGATTCCATTCGTTCAAGAACGCAGAGCTCCGCTATTTCGTCCAGATATTGATCATCCGAGAGGATATAGTCTATTAGGGAGGCTGAGGATGTTCCAATATGTGGGACCTCGCCCTTTTCTCTGTCCGAGCCAACTCGCCCATTTGCTATTCGAATATTTGTTCGTGCACATAAATCCAGTAGTTGTCTTCCATATGCGTTGACTTCGTGTTTGTCCTTGTTGGTTCTTCTCCGTATCTCTTTATCCTCTGTGTACTGGCTGGGTAGGGGAAGGTGGTTTGTCGAATCCATTGAGATGTAGTCGTTATCCTCTCTCGTGTACGCGTTAAAGTCCCCGGCAACGATGATATGGCTATTAGGATAGTTACTTCTGTGTTGGCAGATGTCTTCTTCGAGTTCATCAAATAAGCTATCATCTGCAAAAGAAGAGTTTTGAGGGGAGAGGTAGACAATTCCGAGGATGATGTCGTGATTAGCATTTGTAGTCTTGCAGGGAAGGAAGAGCCATAAAAAATTTGCAGAGCGAGAGGAAAGTTTCTTTACCCCTTC